TTTTAAATAGGAAATGCAGTAGGTAAATAGTGTAAATTCATGAGATAAAATCGATAATATAGGTCAAAAAGTTCATCCTTTAAGCCATGTGTAAATATTTTAACAAAACCATAACGCTATGATATACGTAGGGGTATATAGAGATACTGATACTCAATACTCCCCAAGTCCACCTAAATATATCGAGAGTAACCAATATCAATCGAATTGCAATTACCTATATAATACTATAATGGCGTGGCAAACTTGAGGCAATTCTAATATGCCACCCACCCACCAACAGCCTGATAAAGGTACATATTTATTATTATATTTTAACTATCTATCCTTGTTGACAGTGTTGACACTTAAATAGTGGCTAATACCAGGTAATTTTACCATTTGAGATCACCCACCCCATACATTTTCTATTGTCTTTTATAGTTGATTTTAATATTACTAGTTTTTGATAACATTAATGTAATTAAATTATATAGGATTAGGCGGATACTGAGTTACCTCGTACCTATATACAACAACTATTAATAATAAGTTAAATAGTTACATTTTATTTAATTTATATATTTTGTTGTTCTAATACAACGACGTCACACACTGCGGCGGTAGTAAGACGGAGATAACATGGATACAAAATTGAGCATTTTCTTAAGACATTTATATTTTTTTTAAATAGTTATTTAATGAAAATTTACCATGTCTAGATATAGATTAAGTGGTGCAATAATTAAATCAATATAAAATGAGGTGGTTGAAAAATGAAGAAATTTAAAACGATTTAGTAAAAATCTACCTATATGTAAAGAATATTAGTAAAAACTTAAATTTTTTATAGGTACTTTAATAAATGAATAACTATACCTACCTGAGCTATTTAAGTTACACTACAGACGGGTAATTGCGCTTTTATTTATAGTGTTGGCCTACTGACCAACTTAATTCTGTAAAATGTGGTTGCTCATGGCTAAACTTGGAGAATTTAAGGTATACGGTTTACCTAGTCATTCAGCTGATAAAACTATGATTAATAACGTGAAAAAAATGACGAAATTATGTGTACCTACCTAAATTATGATAATTACTAATTAAGTAGGTATATCTAAATATTGAACGCTAGAAACAGACAATTTTAATTTAGGAGTTAAGTGTACGATGTCTGAAATCTTAAATTTTTTGTTAAAATAAAAAAGTTTATTCTTAAATGATCAAATTAATATAAATATAGTTGTTAGAATTAATTAGAAATATTTAAGAAGTTCGATGTATTTTAAGAGGACGCTACACAATCATTTGTTAACTCCGTCTTACAAGCGCATAAGACACCAAATGTACGCTCAGCAAATCACGTTTAGCACCGTTAGTTTAAAAATTAGAGTGAATCGACCTATTATGAAACTTGATGTTAAGAAAATTATCTGTGTTTGTATGTAGTTTTTTTCGATAGTTAAATTTTGTAGAAAGTTATGTGTATTTAAAAAATCGTAAATTAAAAATGCTCATAACAGTCATAACTCACCTAAAAATGAAGTTATCGTAAAAAAAACCACATACAAACACAGAATAGATAATGTTCTTAGTGATCTTACCATAAAAAAACAAATAAAAATCAGAGTCATAACTCATAAAGCACTTTATAAGTGATTTGGATGTTCTCTTACTACTTTCGAGCGCTGTCTAGCTTAGAAAAACTCGCGTATATTGGCCCTAAAATGAAAGGTGTAATACCTACCTATAAAATAAATTTAAATATGATTAGGTACACGATAAACAGAAATGAACTACTACGCCGATTAAAAGCGTACCTGCCATTCATTGATATAGAACGTAAAATCTAGATATTATTATATATATTCAAACACACTCATCACTCATGTAGGTACCTATATTTACTTGCCACAAACCAAATATATACACAAGAAACCATCATGTAAATTTGCCTACATTTTACTCCTTAAAACACAGCTGACCATAACTTTCTTATGTCTACAGAAAACTATTTAAACAATCATTGTTTAAATAGTTTAAACACGCAACTTTTCATGTAACAATTTTCTTATTGACTATTGTGTTGTAATTAAATGACCGAAAATACTTGAAATATACACAAAATGTTTATTTTATCATTTCACGTAAGTGCCTACTTGATAAAATTTTTAAAATAGTTTGGCTCATTTTGAACTGTTTATGGACATTTCCAATATTTTTTCTGTATGTCAATACATTTTGTTTATATGATCGAAAATCTTGAAAATTTAAAACAAGGCTCCTTGGTATGTAGGTATTTTACTATAGCAATTTAAAAGTATTCAAAATTAATAGCATTGATTTTAGATTCTGAGCGGAGCGATGAATGTATTGATTTTACCATGATGTGTGTTTTTTTTTTTTTTTGTGTCTGTCATCACGTTTTGGGGCAGTAAAAATGCTTCGATTTTTGACTTCAGTAACTCGTTCGATCAGAAAGTGAATCTAGTTGGTACTTTGGGGGGTCAAAAGTAAAAAATTCTTAATACTTTTCTAAATAATTGAGAAAAACAAACTAAAAATTAAGGGAAAAACGGGAAATTTTACTCACACTCATTTTTCGACAAAATCGATTTTGGTTTTTGATATAACTTTAAAACAAATGACCATATATACATGAAATTTTCACCTAATGTTTATATAAGTATATTCTATCCACCATGAAATTTACAAAAAATTTCGACTAAAGTTGAACTATTCATAGGAATTTCAAATTTTCGATCATATTATTAGTTTTTTTTAAATTAATATCGATAAAAATTTATTTGTTAGGCAGAAAAGCTTTAAAATTGAATACAAAGCTCTTAACATATTGTTAAAATAGCAGTTGAAAAATAAAAGAAATTCATAGTCACAATTTTTTTTATAAGCATTCAAAGTTGGAATTTTGACAAAATACGTAAAAATCACGAAAATTCACAAATTATTTTAAGCTAGAAATTCATAAAAAATTTTCTTTTTAAATCTAAGATTTAAATATACAATGATATAATATCATTGGATTCAAATTTAATTCCATCCATTACAGTAACCCACTTGTAACCTACTGTACAGCAGAGCGACATACACGACTTACCCGCTTTTTTTGTAATAAACGTTTATAAATTTCAAAATGTGGTATTCATTATTTTATTGCTAAACATTCATAAAATAGGTATTCAACTTTTATAGATAAAGAATGAAAATTCAAAACAAGGTCACATATTAGAAGTTAATTCTGAAACCAAAAAATTAAAAAATATATTAACAGTCTTTTATTGGTCAAATTTGGACGAAATAACGTATTTAAGACAAGAATAAAGGTTTGTTATTTTGTTATAATTTAGAAATATTATTCATGGGTACTTGAAACTAGATATTTTATTATACTATAAACACCCAATGAAATTTTCAATCACAATTTTTGAGACAAAAATGAAATAAATATACTATAGTACTCATCAACTCATTTCTAAAATATAGAAAAGTAAATAACTTTAATTTTGGCTTTAGAGATATTAGATAATTCAAGTATAAAATTTAAATAAATAATAGTTAAATAGACAATATTATGTAGGTTTTAATATAATTGTACAAATGCAATTATTATCTTTAATAAGCTGGCAAATGTGATTAATCGATTTTAAAACTTCTTATTTAATAATAATTATTAACTCGTAATATCACAATTAAATATTAATACTATATAGACAGTTTTTTTTTTTATTTATTATTGATCTTGATATTATATATAATTTCTGCTTTGACATCCGAGGTCATTAGCATTACATGAATTAAAAATATATATTTATAATTTAAAAAAAAAATTGCATATTTAAGTAGGTAGTAGGCATCCCTAATATAGATTTATTCTGAATTAATACATTTAATATTTTATAGATGTAGTGAAATGAAAAAGTGTAATTGAGATTATAAAAAGACATTACCTATTACTGCAAAAATACATGGGACAAAACTGCACACAGATTCTAAAATACAGGACTTACCATTAGCGCACACATTTATTTTGGACGATTATCATAGATTAATTATGACAACTTGATTAAGCTTTATTTGTAAAAGATTGTACCCACAGTATACAATTTGTAGTGAGTTTTCAGTTGACTATTAGTTTTTGAATTTTTGCATATGACATTTTAAATAAAATCAATAGGAGCCTACTGAAAATATTCATATTAAAATTTTTATTACCATTACTATATTACTACAAATTATGACTATTTTGATGTTATTTTTAATTATTTATTTCTAGGTACTATGTTTTGTAAATTTATGTGGTATTGTACTATTTTTGTGTGTGATAATGGTAAGCGCTGTATTAAAACATTCCTCATCTATATAAGACTGTCTATTTGTCAGTTTGCACATCTATTATTTATGTTAAACATACTTCAGATTGCACATTTAAATAGAATTGAGCAGAGAATATTTCAGGCAAATTAAGACTCAGATTGTTTTTATTTTCTGTCTATTTTTTATTATATACATATTCAAACTTAGGATGAACAGTGGGAAGTTATAAACATAGGTTATCATGTGAAATATAACAAAAATTATCTGATAAATATTGTATATTCATATATTGAAGTAAATTAACTGACATTTTATTTGAACACAGATAATAATTTAGTTTTCAACTGAAATTTAAGGTACTATTATTACGATAAGCCCAAGTTAGCCTAACTTCAGTTTATTATGATAATAATACCTTAAAGATTAATAGAATATTAAATTGTTTAGCAATTGAACACAGTTTTAAAATAACCTAACCTTTGGTATGACTATATAACTTAACAATTTTTCTTTACAATACAATCTTGTTTATCGTGATTTTGAAAATAATATTATTAGGCTATAAGTATGAATATAATTATAAAAATTAATTAGTAATAAAATTAATAAAATTTTCAAAACAATATTTCAGCATATAATATATAAAGCCTGATCCCAATAATTATCATAATGTAGTTGGTAACAGCTAGGGAATGATACTGGGTGATTATGGCCTTGAACAAGGTAGCAGTAAATGTTTAAACTCAAGTTGGTGCGCAGACTTCGTTCAAGTGTTCAGTAGTTTGTACTTCAGATCATAGATTAACAAAAACCTGGTAATGTTGCTTCTATATTGATTGTTAGGAACAGAGTGTTGTACACAAATACAAATTCATATTATAATGTTCTATGACGTAAAAGACAAATTTCATCCTGAGTCCATTAGTGTATTCTATTCAGTAAAACTTTCTTTTTTTCTTTTTTGATCACCATTGTATTTTAAAATAGTTATTCTACTTTTGATTGTATAGAGCTTCTGATATTATATTTTAAAATCGCTGTATTCTGATCTTCGATTCAACAACATCAACTATGAATCCTTATGGGGCCAGGTAAATCTAAAAATAAAACAAAATTAGCTATAAATCATAAGACTATAACATGGTTAAGTAAAATCTCTAAGCTCTAGAGTAATTATAAAATAAATATAAATAATTTTTATTTTTTTTATTGAACTAGCAATGTTATCTTCAATACTTATTATATTGTTATGTAATATTAGAGTAAAAAGTAAATATTATGCTAAGTACAGCAAATATAAAATAATCAAACAGTCGCATAAAAAAAATAAAAAAATACCGGGTTGGCAAATTGATGAAATAATCAAGTAACATATTTTAAAAACTGAACTCTCAAGTGTTTTAATGAACTAGATTTTATTGCTTTTCTCCACTTTACGAATGCACCCATATTTAAACAATTTACCAATTAAGTAAATCATAAGATCACAAATATTATGTAATATTTATCAATCATTTTAAAATGAATCACCTATGTAAAAAAAAAATACCTTTTGAATACAAAAAATGTTATAACTTATGTTTAGGTGTTCATAATTAAAAATACAATAGGGTATAGAATCTGTCAATCTGTCAGATAAAAAATTAAATATGATCTAAATATTTTACAATAGGTATTTTAGTACATTATATTTTTAGTTAATAACACTACGACACCAAGTAACAATAATGCTAACAAATAACAAAGAAATCTACCACAATTAATCAAGGATAATCCAAATGATTTTCAATTGTATGTTCTTTTTTTCAAAACTAAAATGTTTGTAATATTTATATTATATCTTGTATATCTATTATGTATACATTTTAATCAACTGATTCCTTAATTAAATTGTACAAATATCATACTTAATGTTATTATAATAATTTAACCTGTAACTTTCGACATGAACATTCCAATTATGTGGCATCAACATATATCTGTTTTAATTATGAAGTTATTGTGAATAACTATGTATAGAAAACTGGCTTTGTTTAGTCGTCATGTATACCTAAGATCACAATACTCACTATAAATGATACGCTCTTAACCTGCTCCATGAATGATCTGGCCTACCTATGTCACAAAGATCATATGCTGAAACTATCTGACATTCTTTCACATTAAATTAATCTATTTTCAACTAATTATCAATATTATAATGGTATTTATTGCAATTAACATATTAAAATTGTGTTTCAATATCAGTTTAATCGATTTCCCAATTATTCCATTATAAACATAAAACTTTTTTATATCCTAAGATACTGAAATATTTCATCTTTCAACTTTTGGGGCAGTGTTGGGTAGTAACGTAACGAAAGTAAAGCGTTACGTAATTTCATTAGAATTATTTCTAAGTAACGAAAATTACTTTTAATAAATAATTTCTATTGAATAACGCGTTACAGTTTCGAATTATTAAGTACCTTTTGCGAATTGAAAAAAAAATATGTCTATAATGCGGATATTATTATGTTTACCAATTTAGTATAGTAATATACTATGTTTATTTATTAAAGCTCTTTATACAGCTGATCTCACAATTTTGAATTCAATGACATTAGTAAAGAATATTGTTATTAAATACAACACAGCTTTACCATCCAGTGCTTCTGTTGAGCGATTATTTAGTGTTTCAGGGGATATTTGTTCTATAAAAAGGTTACGTATGATTGACAAACATTTTGAAGATACACTATTGTGTAAAGTTAATTTAAAACATAAATAAATATAAAATAATAATATTGTATTATATTGATTTCTTTTTCAAATTATATCTATTTATTATAGGTAATGTATTTCTAGTAACATTATTGCCAGGCACAATGATAATATTGTTAAAATATATTTAAAAATATTTTTATTTTATTTTTTTGTAACGAGAAAGGAATGAGTTACTTTTCAATTTGAAAAGTAAAGTAATTTCATTACAATTTTATTAGTGTAACGAATAAAGTAACTTTATTACATTTCTCTCTAAGTAACGAGTAAAGTAACTTTATTACTTTTTAAAAGTAATTTACCCAACACTGTAATTTGGGGTATAATAACCTATTATTTAAATGGTATAAATGTTGAGCTATAATAAAGATAATAGATTCTAGATTGCAAGAAGCAAAAAAGTTTTAAAATATTATACTGCATAAAAAAATTTAAAAGTTTTCCTAAAAAGATAAGATTTGTAAGGTTCAAAAAATTCAGATATATATTTTTAACAAGTACAAAGCTTGTATTCTGTATATTTGATGATTTCAATAATAATTAAAAAATGTAAATTCATTTTTATTTGAGCTTCTAAATTGTGCTTCTTTCAATTGAGTTTACAGAAGTCATTATATAATGCTGAGGTTAGGTTCCTAGAAAACACGATGATAAGCAAGACACAATTTGTACATGCAATTAATTGAAATATTCTAATAAATAACACAGTGAATTATAATACGTACCTAATTATAAAAGGTAATATATGACAACTACCTACATAGTGTTAACTACCATACTCGTCCACAACAATAGTGTGAGAGAGGAAAAGTATCATTGAACAACTTATTATCTTTCGAATTAGGAACTAATTCGTTTAATATGAAAAACATAATTATGATTGCAACCCCAGAACCATATTGCCTGTCTGGGTGATCCCTGACACTACATAAACCTATTTATTAAGGATAGGTAGAAACAAAACATTAAAACTCCAGCAAACCGGATTTTACAAGCTAATTTAGTCAGAATACTCAACCTTGTCTCTTTTTTTTTTTAACATTAGACAATTGTTAATGTAAAGAATATATAAATGTAAAATTGCATCCAATGGTCACAGGTGTCCCAGACTGTTTCTTTTTTTAAATAAAATAAAAACATTAAAGATAGGTAAGGTGTGCGACCATCAGTGATTATAAATCATTATAAATCAAAGACAAGATCTCGACACATGAATTTGCACATGACCACGGACTAACATATTGACCGTCAGGACAAATCTCAACCACCCGGTAAATCACATATATTAAACAACAGTAATTTCATGATATAGAATATTTTATGTTGTCACTTACTAAAAACATCAATACCTATTCAATCAAATCGTTAGATTAAATTTTCACTAAATAGTAAATACTGAATCGAAATCACTACCGCAAGTCAAAACCACATGAACCTTTAGGCGCTCTAGGAGTTACTTAATGTATAGAACACCCTACACAGTAGGGAATATTTTTAAACTTACAAAATGCCCGGTATTTTCGTTGTAATATTAATTTATTGAACTGCAATGCTTCGTGCCACCGCCACCGTTTCATGTCATGTTCAATTTCGTCAACCGTCAGTTGCTCCATGGCAAAAATATTTAATGTATATTAATCTATACAAATTATATTTGTCATAACACCTCGCCGAATGTTGGTGTGGCGGTTAAAACTTTAAACGGAAGGCGTCAGGCCGGTGCGGCGGCACCAGACGCCAGACGCCAAACGCCAAAACTTGGTAGACGGTATTACGGTAATTTACAATWTACACCGGTCAGATGTAGACTGTAGTTACCAATACCAAATACCAATTGCCAATTGAAATATCAAATAATTGAATGGTGTTGTACAACACTACAACTACTGTTGTAGTTGTTTACAAAAAACAAAACATCCACGCTAATCAGTGATGCCAGTAATGCACTGAAGCGGTTCGTTGCCGTGCGATTTTTGATAAAGCCACCGGCAGTCGAGGGGCGAGGGCACGCGACCGCCTGTTTGGTTGGCGGCACTGTTTAAGAATACGGTTATTTAGGCCTCGCTACGCACTGGCATCTATCCGTGAATTACTTTGTTCCCGCATTAAATGGCGTCGTTCGACTACCCGTCCCGTCCGTCAACCATCTACATTCTGCGCACACACGCGCACGCTCGACGGTCGCCATTTTCCTTGCGCGTACCTTGCTCGGACGTGCGTGCGACATATTTTTTTTGTACTATAAACAATAACAAACAAAATGGCGTCGCCGGCAGATTACATGAAAGCCGAAGACGACGACGACGACGATCTGAAATTGACTGAGCAAATACCGGTGGAGATGCCGTGCGAGATCGTCGAAACCACCGTGGTTGACCAGAACGGCCGGCAAATAGTCATGACACCCGTCCAAGGGCTGACAAAGAACGACAACACCACTATGCTTCTGCAGACAGGCCATCATCAGCACCAGCACCAGCAGCACAATCACCACCACCAGCATCATCACCCTCATTCCCAAGATCTAGATGATGGCCAGCTCACTTACGTTTACGAAAGTGTCGTACCCCAAGAACTGTATGCCCAGCCTGAAAGCCCAGGACCGTCCAGGTAAGCTGTTTGTACACAAACTAGCCAGCGTTGAACTGTCTCCGTTTTTCATATCCCAAACCTACAGTGGTCTATACGGATGTGAATTGATTTTTCTCACCTGACTGTGACTTGTTAATTTCTGATATTGAGGTCTCACATAGGTTTTCTATTTTTTAACTGAAGTTGTAATATTTCGAGCACATTCCACACTAACGGAATTTTTTTATCAATATACATATCTACATTTATGTTGGACACAGTTTTCAGTTTAATTTTCTCTTGGCTTTAGCTAATATTTAAGTAAAATGTTAGCTTTTTAACAATTGTTAATTTTTGATAAATTTAAAAACACACCATCAATCTGTAATAAAGTTATAGCTTTTGTTATTAATCTTTGAAAAGATTGTTAATTAAAATTTTAATATAATTTGTTTATCTTTTTTTCACCAATGTGCTAGTAGACTCAGTTTTTATATTGGGCGAAATTGTAAGATTTATTTAAGACTAGTAGATACTTTCAATTATTTTCTGATACATTTCAAATTTTAAACCCTTGGTAAAATCAACTTAAGTCTTATACAGTTATTACACTAACACAGGACCTATTATCTTAATTTTTGGAATGGCAATCTCTACATTTGATAATTTATTTGGGCAGGCTTCACAACTATAAATCTTAAAAAAAATATTAACTGAATAAATGACATTTTGATTTTAATCAGTTATCTAATAGATACATTTTTTTATTAGTTAAAATATTTTAATTCATTATATAAGATATATTTTGTTTTAATTTAATTTGATATTATTGATCTTTATATTTTAAATATCCCTATAAATGTGTATTTAAGTACTTCCTAGCATATCTAAAAGTAGATTCAATAAATTGAGGAATGGAATGTTTTTTAAATTGATAGTAAACACAGTATATTAAATGTGAAATGAATATTAGGTAATCAGAATATTTGTTATTGAATAAGAAAAATGGAAAAATTTTCTAACAATAATTGTTAATTTTTGTGATATGTTTTCTGAGTAGTATGAGCTATTGATAAACACAATACTGTATTATATTATTATATTTATTTTATCCACTGTAATCTAACAAAATCAATCAAAATTTTAACACTTTAATTCACATTATTTTTAAAATAGAATATATTTATATATTTAAAAAAAGGCACTTTTGTAATTTATGCAACATGCTGTGTATAATAACAAATAAAAAAATTAAATGATTGACAAAAAACTAGACTGGAATTATTTTATTGAAGAAGAGCAGAATGACACACACAACGCTTAAAATTCAAGTTGAATGAATATAACTGTTTTACTAAAATGTATGACTTCTGTATTTAACTTATGTATTTAAATAAGTTAAAATAACATTTATACAACTTACTAATTGTGAAAGGTTATTTTTCAATATTATTTTACTCTTCAGTTCCAATTTAAAAAAAAATTCTTTTATTTTTAATAAAATTTTTAATCTTAAATTTTTAGATTTAAGAAAGAAAATACCGAAGATCATTATTTAGCACAAGTTAGTGTTCCATCACCACCTGATCCATTACCGCTTAGTCGACCAAGAAAATGGGAACAAAAACAAGTTCAAATTCGAACATTAGAAGGAGAATTTTCTGTAACCATGTGGGCTTCTGGGACAGATGATGGTAAAAATTATCATATTATATATACAGGGTGATCCATCTAAGGGTGTACACTAATTATCTTGGGAAGTACTAACTTTTTTTGATGTTTTTCTAAAACCGTATAATATTTTAATTTTTTTCACCCTTATATTTATTGATAAAACCACTATTAACTTTTGATTTTTAAATGGTAAAATAAAATAAAAATACCATGAATTAATAATTAATTTTTATTATGAATTTATGTGTTAACATTTTTATTTTTCATTGATTTGTTTGTGAGATTGATAAGATACTCGAGATAAATAACAATTAATTAAAGAGTACTATTGTACTTTGAACCCTAATCATTTATTAACTTCTTGACTAATTGGATTTATTTTGTTTTCTTGGGTTCAGCAATATTGAATTTATCACTGGCTCCTGATCTTAACAACTATAGGAAAAATAGTAAAAACCACCAATACATTGAGGAGCTGTATCTCACATACCAATCAACAAAAATTAAAAATGATGACATGTAAATTCTTGTTAAAAATTGTTTTGTGAATTCATGATATTTTAATTATATGTTACCAATAGGGTGAAAAAAATTTAAATATTAAACGGTTTAAGAAAAACATAAACCAAAAAGTTAATACTTTCCAAGATCATTAATGTTCCCACTACATAAATGGATCATCCTGTATTTTAATATTGAGGGATTATTTGAATATGATCAAAAATAAAATAATCATTTGATATAATATAGATTACATTTTAGAAGAAGTTAGCAACCCTGAACCTGACCCTGATCCCGATTATGAAGAATATATGACTGAGCAGACAATTTCTGAAGAAATACCTCAAATTAACCTTAGTGATCCAAAACAACTCTCAGACTTCACAAGGTATGTTCAATTAACATCATAGGCGTACGCAGACTTTGTTCGCTGAGTATTCGACTGATAAAATATGCCCCTTTCCCACAAATGCAAAATGAAATGTAAATGACCCTAAAATGAATGAGCATCACATTTCATTTTAAACTTCTAGTTGCTAATTTTTATTAGAATAAAATAAGATTTTTCACCTTTTTTTGAATAAAAGCAATTTTTTTTTAAATTCAATTAGGAGCATTTCTTTACAAACATATTCATTGAAATGACAATTTACATTGTGCATAATCGTTATAATTCAAGTCTTCTCTCTCCTGGTATAAAGACTTTATTTCTTCAATCACATTTTCTGCGTCAATTTCAATAGAAATTTGTTCTATGAATACCAACATTAATTCATTCAGGTATTTTTAGTTTATCACTGCAACTTGATTACAAACGTATAGTAAAGATATTTTTTTAGCGTTCACTAGTCAGTCATGCTGACAAATAGCGATTATATTAGCACAGAATAGTGCATTTATTTTAGTATCAACTATTCAACTACTTTAATAAACATAAGACTATTCTGTATTTAGACATTGTAAAGTTAAAAACGTAATCATTGTCATTTGTAAGAAAATATAAATAGTAAATCCTTACTCTGAAAATATAATACATATTATGAATTTAAAAACAATTCCATGCTCTATATTGATATCATATTATTACCATTTTTTAACTACTAACCAGTTGAATTAAGACATTATTCATGTGCCCCCAAGCGCATACTCTGCATACCCCGTGCGCACGCCTATGATTAAGATTTTTTTCTAATAGTTAACTTTATGATAATGATGTGGCACTTATAGGCCTAGCCATAAGTCAAAAGTGAAAAAATCTTATAGTTCAGAAATGATGGACCGCACTATTGCTTGTCCAAACAAAAACTGCTCAAAAATGTTCCGCGACAACTCAGCTATGCGTAAACATTTACATACTCATGGACCACGTGTTCATGTGTGTGCAGAGTGTGGTAAGGCATTTGTTGAGAGTTCAAAACTAAAACGTCATCAATTAGTACATACTGGAGAGAAACCTTTTCAGGTATACAAGACATAATTAAAATATACCAATTTTCAATAATATTTATTGAGTTATATATTTTTCAGTGTACTTTTGAAGGTTGTGGTAAGAGATTTTCATTAGACTTTAATCTCAGAACACATGTAAGGATACATACTGGTGACCGACCTTATGTGTGTCCGTTTGATGCATGCAACAAAAAGTTTGCCCAATCAACTAACTTGAAGTCTCATATTCTAACACATGCTAAAGCGAAGTATGTATTGTAACTTTTTAAAGTAATGAATTAAATGTAAATGCTCATACTGACAAAAATAATTATTTTATAGCAGGCATATTTCGCGACCAAGGCCTAATTCAAATCGGTCAATAAACCAGGTACAAGACGATCTAAGTCAACAGTATGTCAATGTTGATTTACCTGATGGTGATCATCAGCATTTTATTGTTTATGCTGAATAATGTATGATATATTACAGTAAGTTACAACTACATTCATATTATAAGTTTTATATTTTTTTCTTGTTTAGTATCTATAACTTGAATTATTGTCAACTCAATTGAATACATTAAAAAAAAAAAATTAATTTTTTGTGAAAAGTGAAATTTCATCGCTAGTAAATAAAAAAATATTTAATCTTTATTCTTAAATTTTTTACTAAAACATTTTAGTAAAATATCTTAAATGTCATGTTTTTTTTTTTAAAGTTTTTACCTATCATAGCAGACTCAGCCATTTTTCTTGGTTGAAAGCACTACATTTTAATATGTCTAATAATCATTATTAGATATCGGGTTTCATATCATCTTTCATACATTGTGGTGTTGTCTACTAATTTACTATAGAACAAAAGTATTTATAATCGAGATTAATTTCAATGATAATATTTATTTTAAACTCACTATGTCAACTTATAATTTTTTATAGTCAATTAAGCATTATAATTGATTTAAAACCACTTATTATACATTCTTTAACACTCATAAAAAATACAAACTTAATTATTGTTTAGTCAGAACTGTCAATTTGGTCTTATTATAATATTTCAAATAGTAGTCATTATATTATGTCAATTAGATAGTAGCATATTATTTGTTTTATGTTTTATTAAATTGTTGGCAATTTAATATATTTTCAGGTGTAACGTGATGATAATTTGTACCTCAAACCACGTGACTGAAATCAAAACCTACTCTAAGAGAAAAATTGTAATGCTACATTTTGTACATATCTATTAAGTAATAAGTATATTTAGATTCATTAAATAACTATTTAAAAAAAAATCCTCATTGAATGTTGGTACTTGATATGTTAATAATTAATTTTTTAAAACAAAAAAAATTATAAATTGTTTTTTATACATACATACAACTTTTTAGTTGTTTAAATAAGACTGCAAAGATAATAGAGAGCAAATAATGTGAATTTAAGTTAAATTTCTCTTTTTTTTAACTTATATTAAGAAACTTAATTTATATGGCTTTTTCAGTGATCATGTTAGATAATCATCTATGTATATGTATGTAATATATTTATATTTTTGAATGTAAAGATAAATTGATATATTATATTTTATTATATATATTGTATATAATATATTTTGTTGTCTCTTATCGTGTCTAAAATAAGTTATACTCTATGCTACAAATAAATTGTAGTATAATGAATGTGAATCCTGAATATTATATTTATAAATTATAATGATAATTAGTATTTTCACAGTATTAAGTATTTTAATAAACCAATTTACTACTAAGTTTTAATATTCTAATGATTAAGATGTTAGTGACATTTTACCTAAATAGAAATTAAGAAATTTTCTTGATAAAACTAAAATGTAGAGATATAAATTATGTAAATGATTAGGTAATAATTTAGGTAGCAACTGGAATGCTGAAATATTTGGTATTGTTGTTTCCAATGAGACGAATTGTTTTAAATGTCTACAAATAACTAATTTTGACGAAATATGGTATTGTAAAATTTCTTTTTATTAAATTAATTTTACCATGTACAGTGSTAGAGTGGCCAGGAGAGTTCCYTATGCTGGTGAAAATAATAATAAKATTATGTGATAATGGTCTAGACAATCCACAACCTAGGGACGTTTTATGAAATATAAACACTTAGAACTAATTATTATATTGTAATGACTGGCTTCTAATATTCTTAAATACTATATTCRTAAAATGCATTTATTTATTCAATAGCAATAATGTGATTTTACTAGTTGATAAAAGACAGACAATTGAAGGTTTTTGGTAGGTAGTTTTGATCTAATAGGGATATGAAACTTAAATGCACACTAAAATGTTTTATTCTTTGCGCGAATCAATAAATTAATCCTAGTTGATCTCAAAACTTGCCTTATTTATTAGATGAACCGGAAATGCCGAAAGTGAGCCGACACTTAACACTACTTGTCTATGCTAATTAAATGGTTGTTAACTGGTTATACATTTTCTGATATATTTTAGGTTAAGTAATGAACATAATTGGATGAACGAGAAATTACGTGGTGGGGAATGTCTATTATTAGATTTGTGTCAATTGGGTATAATGTATTTTAAGTTATTTCACGATGCCAATCTAATTATAATAATATATTAAGATCAATGATATTTCCATATAATCTTTTAATAGATACGATTGTATACTCCTAAATGTATTGAGTAAGGAGTACAAAAGGTGAAAATCAGGGACAATCATTGTTTGGGGGGAGAATTTATTACAAAAAATCCTGGACTTTAATTCGGGTTTTCATATAATAAGTATTTCATAAAATATTCTATCTATTAATTACCTATCGTTTTCTATGGACATTTTGGATAATATTTATGTAAAAGATATTAGAAAAATATTACAATTATATTTCATTAATTTTTAGGGATGCTTGAGCGCAGTGCCGTAACAGGGTCTTTTTTGGGGGGAGAGGAGGGGATTCAATATTTTATTTCTGGGGGTAGGGTATTAATGTACTTTAGTATAGTAAGTTTGATATTTTGAGAGAGGCTTAGGCACCCCCATCCCCTGACATTGTTTTAAAATTTTTAGAAGACTTGCTGCCTGCAGGGGGCTAATTTCTTTGTAGCGAATTCACTATACATAAGAATTATATACATATGGTTAATAAGCAAGTATACTACTATATTATAAAGATCAGTAGGTACCTATTTATAGGTGCTAGATATTAAAATAATACAATTTTATAAATAAGATAAAAATATAGGTAGACTGATTTTCTAGAAGTGAAATTTTGAAACTGCTTTGCTTTTGAGAATCGGAAGTTCGTTGCTAGCTGACTGCCTCGACAATATCGACGGAAAAAATTATCAATGACGCATTTGCTTTCCAACAAACTTATGTCGCCGCCGTAATGAGACTATGAGAGTATTGATTTTGCACAATATGTAACCGGCGCAATAACTTTAACCGTACAGCCGGCTGGCAACTAAATAGCCGCTATAGGTCACGAAACGAAAACGGCCAAGAAATTCCAAAGGTTACAAAGTATGTTCGACTATTTAAAATATGTATACATATAATAAATTATTAAGCAACACGACCTTTACAGGTATTATTTTCAAACCATTTTGGTAGGTACCTACGCGAGGTTGCCAGTATGGTGCTGCTCTGCTACGGAATTTACTGTCATAAATCTCATATGTATGTACCTTAGAATTACGATCACCTATTCACCTACCTATAAACCTAATAAACCAATACAATTTTTCACTTGGATCTTAAAAATAAATTGTTTCATTGTACCTACAATTAAAATATTATTAAATATTGTTATAATTACAACCATGAAATCTCAATGGTAGGTATAGTACCTATTAATAAGCACACATTGACACATTATATCCATAACTAGGATTGGGGTTTGTACCTATATATTTCCATAATTTTGCTGGTCGATTATACAGTTTATCGATACAAATACTAAATTACTAAGTCAACATGAAATATGTTTCATAGAAGTATTTAAAAATAGAAATTCATTTAGATAATATTTAACGATTTTACAGGTTTTAAAACATCATAATCTTTTCATTTTTAAGTGTCATATTTACTCTTATTATGATGGCATACCTATTGCACTATTTTGTAATTTAAGTAATACTCAACATATAATTTTGGGAAAAAAAATTTAATTTTAACAAATATTGCCATTCTGCAGTAGAAACAAGAATGATAAATTTAAAGTTTAACTACAAAATTGGAAATTTATTAATATTATTATAAACCTACCATTTTTATTTTCTTTCATAAGATTCTAACTATTCTAAGTGTAACGATAAATGTACTGATTTTAAAATAATGTGTGTGTTTTTAAACATTTTTTACAGTAGAAAAGTTAATCTATGGTTGCAACTTTTGAGATTCAAAAATAAAAAAATTCCTAGTTATTTTCAAAAACATGGCGAAAAAATGTGACCAAAAGGTTTTGCAAATTTTACCATTATGAGATGGATTAATAGGATGATATAGCGCCAATATACGTATGTATATGAATTATAATAAAACTACAATAACATATAAATTCTCCATAAAATTTTGAAGTCCACGTGAGCAACACGTTTCTCCGAGACTCCAACTAGGTAGGTATCGCTATAATACATGTGTACAATTTTCACGAAACAATAAAAATATATAAAGTTAATTTGACTAATAAAACTGTATAAATGATAAGTTTATAACTCATCAATATTAAATTTTAATTCAAGATTATTTTCGATTAATTTTAATAAATAAATAATTTATGGTGGAAAAATATAATTTCATCAAGATTATGGTTATATTATTATAATCATATTATCAACAATAATCACAGATTTTGAACTTTTTGATAACAAAAGATGGGAAAAAAATTTAAACACGCGTATATTACCTGTGCAGATATTACTCGGCGATTATTCATAATGGGTTTTCTTATTTATGGTAATACAATGATATTATAATATGCACACAAAAATTGACAGGTCACTATATAACTATTTATCTATTCTGTGCTAACGCGTTCACACAATATTTGACGTATATATACGGCAGTTACGGCAGCATGGAGCGATGTGTTGCGTGTTATATTATATTTTAGGAGGGGAGGGGGCGATGTGCGGGGTTAAAGCGAGGGCGGAAAGTCGTGTTGAAACTTTCGTTGCAATCGGGATTCGCCTGAAGCGCTAGTGCGGCGTCGAGCGTCCTATATATGCACATATATACGTCATCTTTAGGTCGATCGGCCCTCTGTATAGTCACCAGCGGGTTGGTTTTATACACTGTGCGTACACCTACTACGTGCACGCGTGTAGGTATACACACACACACACATATATATAATAATATGTATGATTTGTTTCACGGTTGTTCGTCGTCGCGACAGAGTCCGCAACACGGGCGGGTAGTCTTGGTTTCTCCTCCCTGCCGGGAAGGGGTCGCGAGCTCCTCGAGAATTTCGTTGGATTTGATAATAGTGCGGCTGTGATGTAATCGTATTTTGTTGTTTATTGTTATTGTTTGTTCTCTCGTCTTTTCTCTGTGTTATATAACATATTTATATATATATATATATATATATAAATACGCATAATTTATAATTATATGTACCTACTCGGGAATTGCGTAAATCGGTGTACCCTTGTCGTTGCACAGTTCTATTGCCCAACAATCGTTGCCAATATTTAGGTGGATACCGACATACCCTCAATAATATAGCTAACAGGTAAGTCACACAGTTAAGACCGTTTGTAATACATTTTTATGTATTTTACGTTATATTTCTAGGCGTGTCACAATCTCTGAAAAACGCATCATTAAATGCTTCAATTTTTTCTGCAATTTTTTTGTTCTATCACAAATCGTTTCAACTTTTGTATACATTCTCAACCTAGTGTATCCATATAAAATACCCTTCAAAATTGTAGGGAATGCTGTATGTTATATTATTGTATTGACTTGTTATACCTATATTGTTAGTATTTAATATTATATCTGTTCTGATAGTCTACTGCAGATTTCACACGACTTATACTTATTACWCTCGTGTTATAGTAGCTAATTAGGAGATATAATATATAATCATTATATTATAGATACCTAACCTACTATTTGATATACGTACCAAAGCTGTTAGTTTATTTAAGTCTATAGAAAAGTCTAAAGCGTATAAAATGTATGCATTATACCATATGAGTGTATATGACATCTGGACTTACTTTTTTTTATGCAGTGGCAATCCTATGGATGAATTTTAAGGGAGGGAAAGCAG